ATCACTGAGCAAAGTCGGGAATCGTCCTCACATCCCTGTCCGATTTTCTGGCACCAAACTTCAAAACAATCTGCTTTGTGGAGATTTCTGGGTCCAGCAGCAGCAGACGGAGCATGTTGTCCTGTAGCACTTTCTGGAAGCCTCTCCCTCAGTCCCTGCCTGGGCGGTCGCCCACCAGCCACATCTTGTGGCCCCCTTGCTGACGGGTGCCTCTGGGTGCCCGTGTGGGATGCGGGATGTCTCAGTAGCCAGGCGGGGCTGCTGGGAACATAGGAAGCTGGGGGGTGGGGTGGGGAGCAGCCGGGGTGGAGTTGGGGTGGAGAGGGGGCACAGCCTACTACTGCGTCCTCACCCTGTAGAGCCATTCTGCAGACAAAACTTGACGAGCATCGTGAAAACACACCCCTCCCCCAAGCAAGGCGACTGAAAGGCACCCGCCACAGTGCCCCCCCCACGGCCGCTCTCCAACAACACAGCAGCCACACGCGTCTCTCACACCCCACGAGCGCACTGTGCATCCTGAGGTCTTTTCTGCTCACGGTACCTTTTCTGTGCGGTCACGACAACTGTAGTTTTTGTGGATGTTAACGTGGGAGTAGTTTTAGACTTCTTCCAGGAAAACGGTTCTCGGACGGCTATTAGAGACTCCTCGCCGCCGACCACGTTCACCTCCAGGAACCGCCCGATCGTGAAGCTGGAGAAGCAGAGCAGGAGGAGCTCCCTGCAGCGGCCTGGGCTCCTTGAGAAGACAAAACGCATCAGAGTTGTGGTCAGAAGACAAGCGGGCCTGACAGAGTTTCCCTTCGTGTGCGTGTGTGACAGGGGCTACGAAACCACGGTCACCCCTAGTTTTTACTAATTCTTCTCAAAGGAAAAAAGGAACTTTCAGAAGCAAGGAACGTATCATTTTCCTATGATCAAATCAGCCACATAAGCTGTAATTCTCAAATTTAAGAACAGGAAAGACAGTGTCGTCAAGTTTTAATCAGAACACGTACAATGTTACCAGAAATCTTGTTTTCACTTTGCTTTCTGCCCAATTTCCTCCTGCTGCTGTAATTCAGGTTCTACTGGACGCTCCACACATTGTGCTCACCTACTGCCTTTTCACAGATCTCTTATCGTCACATTAAAGGGATCCTTTAAAGTGGTGGCACCACATACCGCTGACTGAAGGGCAATCTGTGTGAATGGTCAGTCATCCATGGGTTTGAAGCAAGGTGGCGGTTTAATCAGAGTCACATTTTAATGACGACGATGGCGATTTATTTATTTTAAGAGAGACTGCACACGCACAAGTGGGGGAAGGGCAGAGAGACAGGGAGAGAGAGAATCCCAAGCAGGCTCCAGGCTGTCGGCGCAGAGCCCTACGCGGGGCTTGATCTCACGATCCTGGGATCGCGACCTGAGCTTAGATCAAGCGTTGGACGCTTAACTCACTGACCCACCCAGGTGCTCCCAGAGTTCCATTTTAGAAAAGATTTAGAATTAGCAACGTAGAGGACTACTGAGAAAGGAAGAGGCCTGCAGCCCAGATGCCCAGCTGGCGGGACCAGCGGGCGGTGGGGAGCAAGCAGGCAGGGCTGGGGAGCTCGGGATTCAGGAAAGGAGGCAGAGGAGGAGAAGGACCCTCAGGCTCGCCTGCCTGCTGCACGCAGCCTGCACAGGGAGGGAGGCCTCAGCCCCCTGCCCCGGGAGCCTGCATCGGGGCCAGCTGCCCAGGTGGAGGTGGAGGTGGAGGGCAAAAAGGCCTCAGCTGAGGGAGCAGGAGGGTGAGGGGAAGGGAGGAGCAGAGGCTGAGAGTGCACAACAGGACCGAGGGTCAGAAGCCGGGTGAACGGGGTGGGGGCAGCGGGTCAGGCTTGGGGAGCAACTCCTTGGGTCGGTAAACTCACTAAAGCCATTTTCTCCCCACTGATTTTTCTCAAGGTTTTGTCTCATCAAAATAGTTAGGAATATTCTATAACCTCCAACCTAGAAGTATCACACGGGAAATCTACAGAGACGAACGTACAAATGTTCCCAAAGTAAACTCCCTCCCGACCCTCCAGCCACGTACTTTGCGTCACACATAATCACGATGAGGGTTTTTCCACCTGGAGGGATGAGCCCTCCAGGGTCCAGCTCCGTCGCCTGCTTCCTTGGTGTTGCCTTTTCTTTGTCTCCGTTTTCTCCTTTACAGGTACAGTCATCTGGGAGATGGAATTTAAACCAAAATGAGAACAAGGGGTAGGCTGCTCCTGACGGCAGGTGCTCGCGGAAACGAACGCTCACCCACAGACAGGCACGCACACAGCCAAAGCACCAGACAGCAGCAGACAGCGGGCAGCCTTTCCCGAGTTTAGAACTATTCACGGGAACCAGCACGTCTGAAGCACTTCTGGGATCTGTCGAGCTATTTCTGCTCTTCTCCTCAGCCACAAAACATCAGAGAAGAGCCCAGAACCAAAAAGCTCGCAGTATAATCCGTTGCACCGGCTGGAGTGCTCTGGCCACGTGGGCCCCCAGCCCCCCCAAGAGCAGCTTCACTGTCACGTGGGCCCAGCAGGGCACACAGGCAGCCAAGCCCCAGCTGGCCGAACACGGTAACAGGTGAAACGTCTACCTGGAGAGATGTCTCCGTTGTTCACCAAACTGCTCTCTGACGCCTGAGAGGTTCTGTTTTTTTGGTGGCTGTCTAGAAAGTTAATATTTTTATCTGAAAAATTCTTCTTCTCAGGAATAGGAACAAGAGACCCTGCCGGGCATGTCTGGCCTTTATCCAGCATTTGAAATCTGAATTGTTTAGCTTTATCCCAGCCAGCCAGTTTACAGCTGACTAAGTTTTGAGGAATGTCTCCTTTATTCCTGGAGAAAGAAAATGAGCCATGAATACAGATAAGATCCTGAAGCTAAAATAATCAGCTACCATAAAACACAGAATTCAATCTGATGAGTGAGAGATGACTGTAAATACCTTTGAAAGTAAAAAGAATATTTTAGGCTGAAAAACTAAAAGATTTCCATAAAGGAAAAAATGAACAAAGTAAAGTTGGTCCTACAGAAATTCTTTAAAAAAGTTTTTTTAAATATTTATTTTTGAGAGACAGCACATGAGTCGGGGGGCAGGGGAGCAGGGGAGGGGCAGAGAGATTGGGAGACAGCAGATCTGAAATGGGCTCCATGCTGACAGCACAGAGCACGACGTGGGGCTTGAACTCATGAACCATGAGATCATAACCTGAGCCGAAGTCAGATGCTTAACCAAATGAGCCACCCAAGCGCCCCTATTCTACAGAAATTCTTAAATCACAACTTAAAACCTGTTAAACGTAACTTTATTTGAGCGCTAAACTTACTCTATCCAGATCACCATATTTTTACTTTCTCCTTCTTTTAACGTTCCAAAACTTGTCAACCTCGTGACTTCGATGTCACCTTTGTTCTTCAGTAAAAGTGCTCCACAGAACTCGTCGGCAGTCTCTTCAAAGGCAGAGGCGTCCCTGGAGAGAGCACCCATAGAACAGCATCACTGGCAGGCGCCCTGAAGCACCACTCCCCCTTCTCCCCAGCACCCAGGGAACTGGGATGGGGAAGACAGCAGGAGGAACTGCCTCCGGACAGCAGAAGCTCGGCCTTTGCGCTCGACTGGGACTGTCTTTTGGACATTCAACTGGGCAGGCAGACTGTGGGTGTGAGTGGGGAGCACACGCGGGGCCAACGCTGTGGAATGGAGTCCAGCTCACGGAGGGAACCCCCACACACACAGCCTTGATGCCCCGTGCTGCCCCCAGCAGCCTCTTCTCTGGGCACAGGAAACCTGAGTGGGGTGACAGCACCTAAATTCTCCCAACTCTCCCAGGGCAGAAACACGGGTCTTCTCTGTCCAAGGCAGTACTCCTGGGGCTAGAACAGAGCTGGGCACACAGAGGGCATTTGTTGAGCTTGTGAAGGGCGGGACATTCGTCTGTTACAGACTCGGGAAATGGGCACTGACTGCCCAGTGGCTGTGAGTTCCCCGGGATCCAGCAAATTCCCTTCATCCACCGCTCACCTGCTGACCCCCCGCTCTGACCAGCGTCAGCAACGAAGTGGGGACACTTCCCTTGCCCGTGAAGATGACTATTTGAGGAGGTCAACAGTCAAGGGAGAAGCCTCACGCTTCTGGGATTAAAGGGACCCTCCATCTGGGATTAGAGGGACCCTCTCCAAGGAGAATGAGCACCCCCAGACCTACATCTGAGTCCACTGCAGCCTGGGGGCCACTTGAGGAGACTCCCCAGAAACTGACCATCCACAGCCGGGGAGCCCACTCGTGGTGCCCCTGCCCACTCAACGATGCTAGTCCACACCCACTGTGAGCCACCAAAACAGCAAATCGGTAAGCCACAGGGCATGTTAGAAAGTAAATGTTTAAAAAAACCCAGATTGGGCAATAAGAATCTAGAAGAGGAGACAAACCGTAAGTCATTCCAATGAATATACTTGACCCTGAGGCCTCAGATGGCAACTGCTTTCTGTCGACGGTCAGTCATGGACCGGTCACCATCCTACAACCCTCCTGTGCCCAGGGCAATCAGGAGCCTAGTTAAAAATTTTTTTTTTTTTTTAACGTTTATTTATTTTTTTGGGACAGAGAGAGACAGAGCATGAATGGGGGAGGGGCAGAGAGAGAGGGAGACACAGAACCAGAAACAGGCTCCAGGCTCTGAGCCATCAGCCCAGAGCCCAACGCGGGGCTCGAACTCACGGACCGGGAGATCGTGACCTGGCTGAAGTCGGACGCTTAACCGACTGCGCCACCCAGGCGCCCCTCAGGAGCCTAGTTAAATGCAGTGTTGTTTTCAAGCATTTCTGAGCTTAAACGAAGAGCCGGGGAAGCGCCTGTTTTCACGATATGGGTGTTTCCTTAAATTGGGCGGTGGCTCCAAGTGACCAGTTGCCCACTCCTGCCCCAGGGCTTTGGGCTGCTGCCTGGTGGGAGCAGGACAGAGCTAGCAGGAGGCCCAGGAGCCCAACTCAGATGTGGGCGGGAACCGCTCTCTTCTCGTGGCACCGACCCCGGGCAGCGAGTCCTGCCTGTCTCATGCTCGCACCACCGGGTCCATCAGAGGGAGCCGACACTAGAACTCCTGTGCCTCCCAGGCCTTCTTGGGCTGTGAGAGGAGGTGAGGGCAATGCGTCTGGCTTCACTGCCCCACAGGTGGGCCTGAGTCATTCTCCAGCGGGAAGCAGGGTCCTGTGGGGCAGGGGAACGGGGGGCACTGGGCGGCCAAGGGTGACAGTGATTGCTAGATAGGGTGGGGCAAGGTTCCCACATGGCGGAGTCTCCCCACCCCACACATCTCCACAGCCTTGAGCCAGGCGGTCCATCCTCCTGAGTGTCACGTGCCATCCGTGACCCAGTGGCGCTCCCCGCGGTGCTCCTCCTCACAGTCCCCACATGCGCCCCACTCCCGAGGTGCACGGACAGAGGCAGGTGCTCAGCGCAGAGCAGGACACAGGACACAAATTCCTTCCGGCATAGAACCTGCATTCTAAGTTTATCCTCTAGGAGAGGATAAACAGAGTCACTAAGGGACACGTAGAGCAAGTTCACTGGAGGTTAAGTGCTAAGGAGAGAAAGCGGGCAGAGGACAGGGCAGGAGGCAGGGCAAGGCTGCCGTTTACACTGGGAGCTCAGGGGAGGCCCCACTGTGTGTCATACACACACGTGGACAAGGTGGGAGGTTACTGGGGCCACAGAATGAAAGAAATTCAACAATTCAAAGAACCTACTATGTTCAACACTTTTAAAAAAAACGCCAACCCGTGAAAGATGAACAAAAGATATAAGAACCCACCAGAATGTGAACACTGCCAATAAGACTAAGGGTTAAGAAGGAACCATTAACTCGAACTTCAATCAGACACAGAGACCGCTGAAAACCTTCCAGAAGATACTCTCCCTTTAACTACCCAGTTCAGGATTTGGACAGGCTATGACCTGAGGTTATTCAAGCAACTCTTAAAGTACACTTATATTGGGCCTCTCCCTTCCCAGAGAAGAAAGCCATTTCCCCATTACCGTCTTTTCACTGGGGTCATGCACAGGGCTCTCCAGACGTAGCATGACTGGCTGCTCTCCACCACCACGGCACTGACCATGTCATGTCTTCGAGGCACATATCCTTCAGCAAGTTTCAGAGAGTCCAAGGTGAAAAAGATGCTGTCGTCTATCACCCCGTTTTTCCCACAGAGGCTAGAAATGCAGACCTGTGAGCACGGCAGCAGACAGCTGTTCAGACGTGTGCGTGCCGGGGGCCTCCCTCCAAGACCAGAAACACTTGTTGAACCGAGGGGCAACACCTTCCCTGGGCCCCACTGTAGACCAAGTCCAACCTCTGGCAGGGGTGGGGGGGCTGGTCTCAGAGAAGCAAAGCCATGATGATTTCATGAACGTGGAAGGACCCCGGAGCCAAGGCCGAGGTAGCACGGTGGGAGCGTGTCAGGCAGCACCCTCAGCCCCAGTGTCCAGTGGCCAAGCACACCCGCTGTCACGGGCAGGCGCCAGTCCCGCACCCACCCCACTCAGTCCCAGCGGTCACACTTTCACGTGCTGTGTCAACTACACAGCTTAGAGTTTCACGGGATGAGTGAGCCAGGCGACCTCCAATTACGTCCCCGCGGAAACCAGTGCTCTCGGCAGGGAAACGGGGGCTTTTTGGCCAAGACTGAGCCTTACTTAGCTTGACTTCCCAACGCGCCCAGGAGAAGCCCGGGCTGTGGAAACGCAGGAGGACGAGGGCAAGCGAGGGCCAACACCTACCCTGTCCACGCGCTTGTACCTCAGCGGCTTCACGGAGATGGCCTCGCTGATCCACGTGCCTGGCCGGATCCAGTACTCTGCCTCCACCCAGTCTCCCTTGCAGGGCTGGAAACCTGCAGGCAGGGAAACCATGGTGCTTACTCAGTAATGCTGGTAATTATCAACGTGTGCAATTCATTCTGAAGCTCTGATTCACCGAAACCAGTTCCGTCCTCTCTAACGAGCAGTTTACCAATCTTAGTTCTCATCTAGGTTCACCCAGTTGAACGGAGCAGACGCTGTTACAAGACCAACCTTTCCGCAGCTTCACCTTCTCTTGCCTGCGAGGGCAAAGGCAGGGAAATCGGGGAGGGCTGTGGCCAGCGCGGTCACACACCTGGGCCGCACGGTCTCAGGATCCTATCTGCTCTCAAACGGCGCCCACTGTTTTCACAAGTATTACTAACGACTGCAGCAAAACAAGCTGAGCAGCAAATTTCTTACACCTCCAGCTTCTAGGGAGGGCAGGCACATGTGTGGTTTCTCTGCTAGGTGGGCACGCCTCTGTGCCAACTCTTTCCAGAAACAGTGTGAGTCCCCTCCTCATCAGGTACACACAGGGTACTCGGTGACAAAGGGAAGTGTGCTCAGACCTGAGAGTTGGGGAGCACTCTGTGCCCCTGCCAGATCCCGGGTGTGCCAGGTAGCTGTGCTGTGGCCTGCAGGATGCAAGGTGCCACTGGGCCACAACTGGCAGGGTGGGTGGGAATGTTGGGAAACTGTAGGTTCAGTGACATGACATGGCTTAACCTTCCTGAGGTAAAACACAAGTGGTCTGAACAGGTTTGCTATGATGCTTGGTGTAAAGCTACTACCGATTAGAACCTTTTTGTTATTTTGCAATAAATACTTCTTTTAAAAATATTTCATTTTTTTAAGTAGGCTCCACCCCCAACGTGGGGTTCAAACTCATGACCCCAAGATCAAGAGTCACACGTTCTACCGACTGAGCCAGCCAGGTGCCCCCGCGATAAATACTTTTGACAGCAATCAGTTCAGAAAACAAAAGTGCATAATTTAAAACTGACTTTGTTTCTCAAGAAAGCTGGTGATCAACACCTAGAGCCCAAACATCTGCTGACATCTACTGATCAGCACGAGGGCCACGGGGGCAGCACTGGTGGTAAGAAACCAGAAGAGACAAACGTGCTGGAGCACCGGCTTCCACGTGAGGTGGTATTTTAAGAGGACACTCCCAGAAGCACAATTTAACAGACCGTAGAGACACGTTTATATGTTGTTTGATAAACCATGGCTTCATTTATCAAATAACTGTTTAATACAATTCTGCTAAATTTTTATTCCAAATCTCTTAGACATACGTGAAAAATGGAGCAATGTGTCAGTTGGATAAAAGTTACTTCAAAGCGAAAACAGTGAAGCAAATTCAAGTAACAGTTTGATTTTCTTTCCCCATCAGAATTATGAAATCAAAGTAAAGACTGTGGAAGATCACTCTGTCGAAGGAAACATTTCTGACGTCACTGTGAATTCAGTTTAGAAATTCAACACTGGAGGTAACATTATTTGTTTTTATAGTACAACATGAAAACAAGTTTTGATAAAACAGTAATAAAGCACCATCACACAAACAAGATCCCGACACGTTAAAAAAACTAACAGGCAGAAATGTACTTGGAACCGTGGTGTGTAAAGTCACGCTTGCTTCCACACATGCCGCGGTGTCCAATGAGCTGGGACACAAGCTGTAGCAGTTAAGATTTAGATGCGCTCACAGACACAGAGAGGTAGCCAAACCATAAAACTTCTATGACAAAAGTCATCTTAACAAAACAACCAAAACCGCTGGGTCTAGCAGCCCTGGTTTGTCTGCTGCTCCATCATCCAAATTTCACAGACGTTTGAACCTTTGCAGATGCACTTTGCAAATCAACCAAACCTACGATGGTGCTCCTTTTCGTTTTTTAAGTGAGACCTCTAAATTTTGGTTACGCTTTGTTCAAAATCAGTTGGGAATATTTAATCAAAGTACTGAATAAAACGTGGAACCAAAAATTTTCAGCTTTTGAAGTCTTTTGTAAGTTGCAGTCATTGAAAATACAGCTTGAGGCAGCCTGGGTGTCTTAGTCGGTTGAGCATCCGACTCTTGATTTTGGCTGAGGTCATGGTCCTGGGGTTGTGGGATCGAGCCCTGTACTGGGCTCCGCACTGAGCGTGGAGCCTACTTAAGATTCTCTTCCCCCTCCCCCCACTCGTGTTCTCTCGAAGGAAGGAAGGAAGAGAGAAAGAAAGGGAGAGAGAGAGAAAGAGAGAAAGAAAGAAAGAAAGAACGGAAGAAAGAAAAAGAAAGAAAGAAAGAAAGAAAGAAAGAAAGAAAGAAAGAAAGAAAGAAAGAAAGGAGATACAGCTTGTAAACAGGAAGACAGTGACACTGATCTGCACCAAAGCAACGGAGGAAATGAAATAATGAGACCCCAGGAGCCTGCATGGCACACGCAGATTAAAGCTGAAGTCTTATGACTGGATTCAACACTATCCCAACTTGTGTCAAAAGAGTCTTCTAGGGGCACCTGGGTGGCTCAGTTGGTTGAGCATCCGACTTCGGCTCAGGTCATGATCTCGTGGTTTGTGGGTTTGGGCCCTGCGTTGGGCTCTGTGCTGACAGCTCGGAGCCTGGAGCTTGCTTCGGATTCTGTGTCTCCCTCTCTCTCTGCCCCTCCCTAGCTCGTGCTCTGTCTCTATCAAAAATAAACATTAAAAAAAATTTAAAAAAAGAGTCTTCTAACAAAGCCCTTTACTTAAAAAAAAGTTTATTTATTTTGAGACAGAGCAAGCACACGTGGGGGGAAGGGGAAGAGAGAGAGGAAAAGAAATCCCAAGCAGGCTCCTCACTGCAGCACAAAGCCTGAAACGGGGCTTGAACTCATGAACCATGAGATTATGACCTGAGCCAACATCAAGAGTTGGACGCTCAACCGACTGAGCCACCCAGGCACCCCAAAGCCCTTTACTTTTTATTGGATAAGTGGATATTCTGCGATGGAATGAATGAAATTGATGAGACCTATAAATTTACAATATCCAAATTTGGTGTAGCATTCAAAAAAATCATAGAGACAACTTATTTGATAGGTTTTAGTTTATGATAATATTGGAATACCTTTGTACTCATAAAGGCAAACAAGACAAAACAAAAAACCAGTACCTGTGAAAACATCTGGCCTGAGATAGTTATACATTTCAAAAGAAAAAACCCTGGACTTGTATCTTACATTTAGCAGGACTTGTTCTGAGCTTACTAGTATTTCCTCAATTAAAAACGTTACGGCCTACAGGGAGAGCCAATCAAAGGTTTCAGTTTCACATTCATCAACCATACAATACCACTTTGAAGAAGATTCCAGACCACTGTATAAAAAAATAAAATTAAGACACTGAAAAATGCATATTATTTTTTAGAATACCAGTGACATGGTGTTACCAACACTGAGAAACTAAGATATTATGTACCAAGAATGCAATGACTGAGTAATAAATATTAAGCTGTTTTAATGGACCCAAGTATTTTTTTTCTAAAAAGAATTTCAGGTTTTGCAATTTCCGAATTATGCTACTTTAAAGGTCCACCACTATAGTAAGATCAATCCGTTAATTGATATGCAACTATTTCAAAAATGATTTAATTTTAATTAATTTTAACACCCCTTTCTACAGCTCACCTGTGTACCAATCTTGATCCTAACTTATCTGGTCACCCTGGCTATAGCTCTGGCCACTGGAGAGGAATACAGCCATAGTCACAGCGTGAGGTGGGGATGTGATCCTAACCTTGCTCCCCTCTCTTCTGCCGACTGGTGGGTGCTGGCTAATCCCAACCAGAAGCCAGAGGGCCAGGCTAGGCAGTCCATACTGGGCAGGCCTGGGGGCAGAAAGGGGTGGATGCAGAAAGGCATCAGAGACTGTGTGGTTCCAAAGGATAAAGAACTCTGGCCAAGGGAGAGGGTGGGTGTCAGAGACCTGTTTCCACCCAGGAAGGAGGGGGCCAGCGACTGGGTAGAGGTTTTCAGACAGAACATCTGAGGACCTCAGGGACGTTGCAGATGAAGAGCAGTCCCTGTAGAGGCACACTGGTCACTAAAGAGCACCCTGACGCAGGGCACAGCACCCTGTATGATGTGTGTGGCATTGGGTTCTTGGGCCTAGTGAAAGATCTCAGAAAGGATCCAAGGGATTCACTCTTTATCTCACAAGTGGGTCCGTAAATCAGTTTAATGTGAAAGTAAAGAAACAACCTGACTAATGACCCAGGCTGAGAGCTCAGGCCACACTGGTTATGTGGATATGCAGGTGCCATTGGGCTGACCAGTGCTCACCCTGGAAATAAAGAAGAAAGGAGCAGATCCATCGTACAGACTTTAGACCCATTAGGCCAGTGATTCCCACCCAGGGCCATTGTGTCCCCCAGGGGCCATGTGGCAGCCATGTCTGCAGACGTTCTGGAGTGTCATAGCCGGGGGCTGGGATGGCAGTTACTTGCATCTAGTGGGCAGAGGTCAGGGATGCTGCTAAACACATTGCACAAGTCACAGGCCGGTCACCACAACCGAGTGACCAGCCTCAAATGTTACAGGACAGAGCACGACAGAGCCTGCTTTAGGCTGAGTGTTTAACTCCCTTTCTGCCTTGGCCAAAACGGTTAAGGATTCAATGGATATTCATGTGTAAAACAGCTTGAGCCCTGCTACTGATGTTAAGAATTCCTATGAGTAGAAAATAGGGCACCTGGCTGGCTCAATGGGTAAAGAATGTGACTCTTGATCTTGAGGTTGTAAGTTCGAGCCCCATACGGAGGGCAGAGTTTATATTAAAAAAAAAAAAAAGAAAAAGAAAAAGAATTCCCATGAGTGTTATTTTTGGGCCTAGATCTGAAATGTCATCCACAAAACTGGGCTGATGGCCACCACTACCCCTGTAGTCCGAGACTTCGGGGAGCCAGTGATCCTGAGACCCTACCTCCCACCTTCACTGTTCAATATTCACAGGTTCCACCTCTCCCCAGTGACACCCCTTCCTCAGTCACATCTTGTCGTCCTCCTCTGCTCAAGGTACTGTACATAACTGAACCGACTCACCCAGGTTACCTTGGAAGGTTTGGGACATAATCTGTGCTTCACCTGGACCCTCCCCACAGAGCCCTTGATCTGCTCTGCACTCAAGGGAGGCTGAGCCTTCCCGTGCCCTAGAGGCACCCCAAGCCGGTCCGCCTCCTGTCCCATCACGTCACTCACGCAGTTCTCGCAGAGCAGAGAACACTGTGCTGTCGACTCCCCCTCCCACCAGAACAGATTCTACGAGCAGTGGGTCGGGAGATGGCCTTCCAACATCTGCTGAATGGCTGCCAAGAAAGAGACCGTATATTCTGACTCTCCCTTAGGGGAACAAAACACCTAGCCCAATTCTTCCTCTTCTTACCTTCAGATCAGACATTCGCATGGCAGCCTGCCTCCTGTTCTCGTAAATAAACCTGCACCTTTCCGCTCAGGCGCTGCTGACCGCTGTGTCCATGCTAGCCCCAACCCAGAGGTAAGGAGCTAGCAGAGAGCACGTGGCCCACAAGCTCTATCATCTGGCCTTATCCAGAAAAGGTCTGCAACCTCTGCTTTGGATTCCCGTTACCTTTCTTCATGTCGTGTTTTCTCTTTCAAGAATGTTCTTCTTGCGGTCTATGGCAGGTCATCAACAATTTGGACTCTCTCAGCTCAAGAAGACGGGAGACTGTGCTGGGAAATCCCTCCACCTATGACTCAGGTGCCAGTCCTCGTGGTGAACTACTTCTGTACCTTCCAGCAATCGCTGCAGCATGAACCATGTCCCAGTCTGGGAGTGACTTCCTATTGGCATAGTTACGGGGACCTAGGGATTCCCTTTGGAGCTGAGCAACTGTAGGATCAGTTTTTCCAGAATTGACAGTTTCTCTGACAGAACAGAAAATTTTAAATCCCAGCCACCTAACAATTTCATTCCGGAAACTCCTAGGGTTATCAATAAAGGTCAGAGTCCTGGCTTTTACATCCGAGAAAAGCAGACAAGCAAGCTGCCTGGTGGGCTGACCTAATTGCCCTCCTGCACTGGGCTCCCTGGCAGCCAAGGTGGGAGAGAATTCCGGCTCCTCTCCATGTCTCTATGTGGGGCTGGCAGGGTGAGCAGCTGGAATTCAGCTCAAGAAGCACCTCCTCCAGGCAGCTTTTCCAATTCCTGCCCAATTCCAAGACGTGTACAGGTCTGTCTCTCCTTGGGAGAGAGCAGGTACACAATAAATGGTTGTTGAGTCAAACTCAAAAATGGCATCAACAAATTCTTCATTTAGATATAAAAACAAAATTTGAGTTCAGCTAAAAAAAAAAAAAAAAACAACCCGACACATACTTGTGGAGAGGTACAAAGTTACCCCCAAGCCCTGTGTTAACCCATTTGAAGTACTGTGAGAACAGTCCCCTTATACGTCTGCAACACTGTTGACTTACGTCAGGAACAATACTTCTGTGGAAAGAACAATTACCCGGAAGATTGTGACTCCATTCAACAAATGACACAAAACAAATCACAGCAGTCTATACCACCTACACCACTTGGAGCCAGTGCCTGGTGAAGCCGTTCTAGTCTAAAACCCTCGCAACAAAGCATGCTCAAATTTGACCCTTTCAATATGTATAGCCATCTCAAATCTCAGTCATAAAATTAAAAAACCCCCCACAAAACCTAACCTTAAATTTAAGTAGAAACCCATCTGACATACCTTCACAAACACTCTCCAGAGAGAAGTACGTGGTCTGACTGATGTAGCCAGCACCTTCCATCAGCGACGTCACACAGCCAATCAGCACTCGGGGGCTGGAGTCTGACAGCCCTCTGCTGCGGTTTTTGCCGTCATCTTCCCATTTATCAGAGACAGCTTCCACCTGTAAGACAAACGAACCACTATTCAAACCGTAAGAGGACCACAAGAAAAGCAACTGCAGGCCAGTATCTCTTAGGACATAAGTATTAAAAATGCTCCATCAAATACCAGCAAACCCAATATGGCAGTGTTTTAAAAGGGTTACACACCACACTCAAGGCGGGTTTATTCAGAATGCAAAGACAGTTCAACATACCAGTCAATAGAATACACCTCACACTGGGTAGGCATTTGACAAAACAACATCCTCTCACGAGAGAACACTCAAACCAGGAACGTAAGGAGACTTCCTCAACATGATAAAGCCCATGTATGAAAAACCCACAACTAGCATCACACTCAATGATGGTAAGACTAAAAGCTTTTTCCCTAGGATAAGGAACTAGGCAAGGATTTTGCTACCTCTGTTTAAAAAAAGTGTTGAACGATATTTAGTCTTCCAATCCATGAGCACGGAATGTTTTTCCATTTCTTTGTATCTTCTTCAATTTCCTTCATAAGCTTTCTATAGTTTTCAGCATACAGATCTTTTACATCTTTGGTTAGGTTTATTCCTAGGTATTTTAGGATTCTTGGTGCAATTGTGAATGGGATCAGTTTCTTTATTTCTTTCTGTCGCTTCATTATTGGTGTATACAAATGCAACCCAAAGCAATCTACACATTCAATGCAATCCCAATCAAAATTGCACCAGCATTCTTCTCAAAGCTAGAACAAACAATCCCAAAATTTGTATGGAACCACAAAAGACCCCGAACAGCCAAAGTAATTTTGAAGAAGAAAACCAAAGCAGGAGGCATCACAATCCCAGACTTTAGCCTCTACTACAAAGCTGTAATCATCAAGACAGCATGGTATTGGCACAAAAACAGACACATAGATCAATGGAATAGAATAGGGACCCCACAACTGGACCCACAAATGTATGGCCAACTCATCTTTGACAAAGCAGGAAAGAACATCCAATGGAAAAAAGACAGCCTCTTTGGCAAATGGTGGGAGAACTGCACAGCAGCATGCAAAGGATGAAACTAGACCACTTTCTCACATCATACACAAAAATAAACTCCAAATGGATGAAAGACCTGAATGTGAGACAGGAAACCATCAAAACCCCAGAGGAGAAAGCAGGAAAAAACCTCTTTGACCTCAGTGCAGCAATTTCTTACTCAACACCTCTCCGAAGGCAAGGGAATTAAAAGCAAAAATGAACTATTGGGACCTCATCAAGATAAAAAGCTTCTGCACTGCAAGGGAAACAGTCAAAAAAACTAAAAGGCAACTGACGGAATGAGAAAAGATTATTTGCAGATGGCATATCAGATAAAGGGCTACAAAAATCAGTTGTATCTGTATGCATTTGCAATGATCATTCCAAAAAAGGAAACTAAGAAAACAATTCCATGGGGCATCTGGGTGGCTCAGTCAGTTAAGTGTCCAACTTTGGCTCAGGTCATGATATCATGGTTTTGAGTTCGAGCCCCGTGTCAGGCTCTGCACTGGCAGCACAGAGCCTGCTTGGGATTCTCTCTTTCCACCCCCCTCTCTTCACCCCTCCCACATGCACGTGTGCTCTCTCTCTCTCAAAATAAATAAACTTAAAAAAGAGAAAACAATTCCATTTACAATACCATCAAAAAGAGTAAAACACTTAGAAATAAAGTTGACCAGGGGCACCTGAGTGGCTCAGCTGGTTAAGTGTCTGACTTCGGTTCAGGTCATGATCTCAATTTGTGAGTTCGAGCCCCAC